ACATAGGGATACATAAGGCTTAAAGGGTTCCTTGACACGGTTTAGGGTTTAGGGTATAGGGTACAAGTGATGGAAAAGGGTGAAGAGGAAGTTTAGGAGGCTGTAGTTTCGGGGCCTGGCTAGTGCAATGATATTATTCCTCAGGATTCCTCACCATAAGTATACTATGAGAGCAAACACGATTCATGTATACACACCAGCATACCCTGCTCTGACTGAATGACAAGGCCCCTATGATGGGTTTTAGGGGCTTACATGATTTTGGGATGTTCAGGGTATTGGGTTCTTAGCAGCTTGCGGCTTGGCTTTACTCAGATACAGCACAAGCGATGCATGCATGCACGCATGCATACGTGCATCCATGTATACCCATTCTTACACACAGTACATGTGCACGTGCGGGCATGGTGAATAGCTTGTGCGTTTGCTTGCATACGTATGCTTTCGTTTCTGTACGTACATGTAGATTTATACCAGTGTATGTATACATGCCCGCGGACATCCATACATAGTTACATATACATGTACGTACACACATTCGTATATGTACATTTGTATATATATATATATATGTAGATAAATACATATACATATACATATACATATACATATACATATACATATACATATACATACATACATACATGCATACATACATATGTGCGCATATGTATGCATATGTACATGCAAAAAGTGTGTAGCTTTAGACAGCTCTTAGACAATCCCAAGAGAGGTTGGCACATACATGCCTGCATGCAGACCTTCTCAGATACTGCAAATAGAGGCGTTGATACATGCATGCATGCGTCATAGCTCACGCACACATCTGCAGTGCCCAAGTCCCCCTGCATGCCTATCTGCATTTGCGTATGCACGCGTGTGTCTCCAACGAAGCGCATCAATCCACAAGCAAATGCATGCACACACACACACACCACACGCACGCGCACCTACAGGAGTTTCTGCAGGCGAAAGTTAGATGAATTTAGCTGTCTGGTATGCAGGAGCGTAGGTCCCAGCGTACATGCACACGTACTGACACATACATGCATAGACCCTTTTGTGCATTGATTGAGTTATGCAGCCGTTCTTCTTTTGTTCATATATCCAAGCGTTTCCATTGATTGATTCCTCTTTCAACAGTTTTTTTTACTCCTTTCAGCGCATTGCAGGTGATGCTTCTGCTGGTGAGTTGTCCCTACACTCTCGGGAACCTCACTGTTCCATGACTGTTGTGTGCGCCGGTGCCGTTCAGGAAGAAGGAGGCTCCAAGAGAAGAAGTGCACGAGCCGCAGAAAGCCGCCGAGACTGAGCCGGAGAACGGCAACAAGCTGGACCAGCGGGTGAAGTCTCCGATCCAGGAGCATCGCTACGATTTTTTTCGGTTTCGGCTCATGGGACTTGGCCTCAGGGTCCCAGGGTTCATCATGCCGCATAGCGATGCCACAGCTACTGCACTTGCTGCTGCTGCTGCTGCAGCTGCTACTGCCATTCGTGCTACAGCTCCTGCTGCTTACCCTCCTATTGGCACTGTGACGTCAACAGCTACTCCGACTCCTGCTTCTGCTACTGCTACTGCTACGACTACGACGGCTACTGCAGCTGCTGCCACTACCACTACCACCACCACCACCACCACCACCGCCACCATTACCACCGCCGCCACCGCCGCCACCACCGCCACCGCCACCACCACCACCACCACCACCACGACGACCACCACCACAACCACGATCGCCACCACCGCCACCAGCCCTGCCACCGCCCCTGCCACCGCCCCTGCCACCACCACCACCGCCACCGCCGCCACCACCACCACCACCACCACGACGACGACCGTTGACGACGACGACGATGACGACGACGGCTACGGCTATCGCCACCGCCACCCCCACTATTATTGCTTCTTCTGCTACTGCTTCCACTGTCGCAACCGCTGCTGCTGCTGCTGCTGCCACCCGTGCGACGACGACGACTACTACCACTACTACTACTGCTACTACTCCTGCTGCTGCTGCTACTACTACTACTACTACTGCTGCTGTTGCTTCGTGCCACTTTCACACTACCGCTGCTGCTGCTACCAGTGAAGTGGATGAGGTCAAGCCACCCCACCGCAGTGCCAGCAGCTTAATATAGTGTACACATTGGAGGCCCTATAGTCGCCGCGAGAAGATGGGGAGTGATGCTTGATGCTGGCCTCAGGCAGAACAGTCACTCGCCCCGTGTCACAGGCAGCGTTTCTTCACGACATTTTTGCCACCAACTGGTAGAGCTGTCACGCAGGAGGACAAGGTAGGTATACAATGGAAGCCCAAGTGAGACGAGATTACAAGCTCGGATCCCACGATGAAGCAGCACTCAACAGGGTCGTGACCTTAGAACCCTCAGCCCCCTAAACCCTAAACCCCCTCGACTTGGTAAGCAGGAGTCCCTGGACCGGGTCCGGAACTTGAACGTCGATGAGCTCCGAGACAGACTTGGTGGCAAGATGAGCGAGGCCCGGAGAGCCCAAATCGACCTAAACTTGTCGGGCCATGCTAGCCATTCTACTTGTGTCTATGCCCTATGTAGCAAACTTCGATTCCAGAGCACACCTGAATCCTAAATGCAGGTACTGTCGACGGCCCACAGGTCCTATCCTTACTCATGATGAGGAATGCATTCGCAGCGTGTAGGGTTCGGAGGAGAACGCGAGATTTTGATCAAGTCGACAGCGACGGTTACCAGCCGTAGTAAATAAGCGCGTCTGAAACATAGGCTTACCATACGAGCAACACTGCTCGCATGACGTGCAACCGGGAGCTTGCTTGCATGACGGGCTTCGGGTTCGTGGCTTTCCGCTGTTCTCCACCCTCAGCTCGTTATTCTAGCGGCAACTGCCCGAATTTTCGTGTCCTCGACCGGCAGCCCTTAGACCCTGAAACTACACAGACCTCAGACCTGGCGCCCTAAACCCTGAACCCCAAACCCCGAACCCTAAACCCTAAACCCTGCTCAGCCATGCAGGAGGCAAAAAACCCT